TATATACTACACATGAAACAAGAAAAAACATGAAAAATTCAGCAATCTCTCCCAACAGAAGGCCAGAAGTGGAATAGACAAACGACCCCCTCCCAAGAACGACCAAATACGACCCCCCCCCCTTCAACCGTCCCTGAGAAAAAATCAACTGCCAAAAAACTTTTCTCAGCCCAAATACGATCCCCCCTCCCAGAGACCAAATACGACCCCCTGTTGGAGAGTCCCCAAAAACGCTGTGCCCTTAAAAAACCGCAATCCTACCTTATGCCCTGGCAGCGAAAACTATTGCGACAGAGTTTCAATTAATTGTAAATTCCAATTTTAGAAGCGCGAAATTATTTCCGGAGAACGGGCTGCACCACTAGAAAAGAGTTACTGTATTTTATTGCAGAAATAGCCCTTTTACGAGTGCTGTTTTATAGATCGTGAACGGAAAATAGACTACTCTCGAATTTTTAAAACTACCAAAACCGGAATTTTGCAAAACTTAGGCTACGAAGTTTAGCGATTGTTTTTTAGACATGCAAAATTTTGAGGAATAGACAGCGCACGAGGTAAGAAGACTATTTAGCCGAAGAATTCTGTTGTGTTTTTCTTTGCAAAGGGATGCTTTCGGCTAGAGTCTTTATTGCTTGGTCATACGTTCCACAAGGTTTATCGTCCTTTTCACTCAAGGATACTGCGAAAATATTAAGTGTTCCAGGAGGAACAATGTATTTTTTAAACTTTCCATAAAATTACGAATTATAATGAGGTAAACTTCATGACTACAAGATATACAGACAACGGGGTATGTAAGACGAGATTTGATTCAAAAGAGACTCACTCACCCATATTAACGCTGCGGGTCAGAAGATGAGAGTTGCGGCGGCGGGTCGAAAGAGGGTACAGCATCGTTGGATGGAACAAATAGGGGCACTTTTCGCTGGGGAGGGGGGAGAGGGCCGTACGTGCCATCAAGAGCAATTTGCTGTGTTGGGAAGAACTTTCGGTTGTTGACTTTTCGTGATTTTTCCTGTTTCAAGTGCACTATATGCCTCCTCCCTTCCCCCGCTCGACAGAAAATCTTCCGATGAAAAACTGGGAAATGTGGGAAATGAGTAGGTAGGTCTTGGGAAGTCGGGAGGGGGGGGGGGATCGCAGCGAGACTCCCATCTAGGTAGGGGATCGCACTGACACCCACTCTCAGAGGGGGGCGGTCGTACCTACAGCACCATTCCACACATCATGATGCTGTACTCTGGGTCGAAAGAAACATTGCAAGTGGCGTTGTGTGCGCGGCCTCGGCGCTTGGGAATCCCTAGTGCTGCTCCCGAGTTGCGGTATCTCACTTCCTAGCTAACGCGAGAGATTCGGACAGGTCCACAGACAAATGGGGCATAATTTCTATTAACACGTCCGCCTTCTCTTTTTCTCTGCATTTTCTCGTCCATATGGTACAGTAAGGTCGTTGTGACCTCATACACCCCAGCTTTCCGCGCATCATAAGTGGCTCATCCACCCGGAGTCCCCTTCCCTTATAAAGCCCCTATCCTGGTTCGCCACATGTTTCTTGCACATTTGGATGCTTTGGCAGGCGCGGTCCTTGTTCGCGTCACAGGGCTTGGCATCAGGACCATGAAGAAAAGACCAAGTTGTCAGGTAGCCATAAAGGCACAGAGGGTCGACACGCCTCAAATTGCGGTCTACGGGCAACTGGTGCCCAGGCTGGGCGTTTGCGCGCAAGGAGACCTCTCTTTATTCCGAGCACTCACAAGGGAAAATGAGTGCCCTTCCCCCACCCCCGTCTTGAGCATCAGTTCATGCCTAGTGGAAAACAATATCAAATTCATTAAGAGTGAACTCACGTGTAATCTCCAAAATCGTCTCGTTGCCCGATTGGTACTCTTCTTAGCTTGTCGTGACTAATACAACCTTTTGGTCGGCTTTTCAAATATGGACCATCCTTCTCGCATTCGTAATAGTACATGTTCTGCAAATTGTTGATCCTTTACTTCTCAACCAATTCGTAGTAAGGAACCTGATTCTGAGTCGATTAGTAGCGAATCAGCGCGCCGACGCGAATGGCTTTAACAAGGCGTCGCAAAGGCCTAGTCCAGGGCAGCCTAGTGTGGGTTCTCCGCGCTCTGAATAAGGAAGCCGAAATGCAAACAAAGTTTCCTCAGTCGCGAAAAAGCAAACTACAATACCGAGCTGTTGAAAATGGCACCGAATAAGACCCTTTCTGTTTGCAATTGATTCTGAGGGCATTTCTGAGCCACGATGAGGAGGGATGCAGACGAACAGCGATGGATAGACGAGAGTGTATGCACAAAAAGAAGGAGAGGCCGCTATTCCTCATGCGGCATTTGCAGTGGGTATGACCTGCCCACATGGGATGGACGGCCTTAAGTCAACAGCCCCTGGCAACCCTGCTTTCGAGGAACGAAAGGCACAACTTTGGAGGCATGACTTGCCCCTCTTTGTTAATCGCGCAATGGAAGCTATTCCCATTATATTACGCTGATTGGCTCAGTTAAACGCTCCAACCCGACCCTTGCTATTGAATTGCTCTGGTTTTAGGTCATTTATCCTCCATAGTAACTAATATGTTGGCGTGTGGAAATGAATTTTCTGTCTGCCTGTTGTTCGGTCCATTGCGTTTCGTATTTGGTTTTTTATCAGCGTGCCACACTTCGTAGAGTGTCCTACATAGGCTGCACTTGAAGGACGTCCGGAAAAAAAGTTGCAGAGTGCAAACCTCGACGTGGGCGAGCAATCACTCGACTGTCCTTTGCACATCGCATTAGGGTTTTACTGGGTTATTCGTTTTAACCATAATTGAAAATTTCTACCGCGAAGCGTTAAAATCGATTTCCTTGGTCCTTCTCAAGACAGCTGAAAGGAAAGTAATTTTGGTGATCTACTAGGCGTCAGCCTGAAGTCAAGTCTTTGATACCCGAAAGCTGATGCTTCTTTATGCTTATCCGGTTGTGTTACTCCGATCACTGACGCGCGCGGTTGCGAAGTGATTGACCACGGACAGACACAATAAAAGGAAAAACGTACGAAACTGTGCCAAAATCAGGAAGCTCGTCTTAACCTCTCCGCGGTAGCAACAGCCAGCCACGGCAATGCAAGGGCAATGACAATGCTGTTCCTTTATGACACCGCCCCTCCACCCGCTCCTCCGAATACTGCTATCACAACCATCCCCCGCATTAACTCGCCCGTTTTGGGTACACAATCATCCACCCACCCACCCATTACTCGCCGTATTTGGCTACTGATAAAGTGGTCGTATTGAGCAAAGTCATTCAGCCGTTTCACGCTCTTCGCCTCGGCTACCTATGTGCCTTTACGTATCCGCTCAACGGCGTAATACTGCGAAAATTCGGTAAGATGGTGAAAGGGGGTACAACTTCAGTGAAAATTGCGGGAGTGGGTCGTATTTTGCAAACGTTTTCCACAACAATGATGCTTCCTAGCTGCGATGGGGCGATGTGCCCTGATCGAGAGAGCCCCTTCCCGCGCACAACAGTCGTTTTAGGGGGGAGGGGCAGGGAATTGGAGACTTTTGGAAAGAAGGATGGGGGATGAGGAACTGGGCGGGGAGTACCAAATATGAGAAACTTTCGAGAGTTAGTTGTATTTGGCGACAGGGTCTAGCATCGCGATGTGTGAAGTGGTGGTGTCAGTACGACTCCCCCTCGAGGAGATCTCGGTACGACTCCCCCCCCTTCCCTAGCATGCACCTACCGCTGTCCTACAAATTCTCAGATTCCAACCAGTTGTTCAGCCAAAAATTTCCGTCGAGGGGAGGGGTATACAGGGTATATAGCCAACGTGAAACGGTAAAAAACTAAAGCCAGCAACCAGGAATAATTTTTCCAAGCGCCGCAAATTTCTCTCAAAGGCATACGAGATCCCCTCCCTCTCACAGCAGCGACCAAGTACGACCGTCCCCCCTCCCCAGCGGCCAAGAACGACTCCCCCCCATGTGGTTTCACACAACGATGCTGTGCCCTGTTTGGCGAAATCCCCCCCCACGCCCGCCCATTCAAACGGCGGGACCTGCCCTGGTTAGGCTCTTACAACCGTTTTCAGGAGTGTGGGAGCATCCTGTTGCTGTGGGTTACCAATCAATAGATATCTTCACTACGTCTACAACCGAAAGATAGCTTTACCTGAGCGTCGACCCATGTCTCTCCGGCCCTGTAGTAACGATTCTGTTCTCCAATGCATGCGGTGAAACGGAACTGTAGGTAACCGTCCGGTCCTGAACGACGTTCTTTTAGTGTGATGTGGTCGTTTTTCTTCCAGTAACCTTTCACTACGGCTAACTGTGACCATGTCATATTGATAGGGTTTACGGAAGCAATCATTACGCTCATAACATCATAAAAACCACTTCCTTCTCTGACTGACTACTGCTACTCGCATTGACACAACTACAATAATCAAAAGTACAGAGCAAACTGGTTTGAGCGAAGGCCAATTAATAAAGTAATGAACTTCTGATTTTGAGTTGTGATAAGAGAAATCAGATGGTTTCAGCAAAGTATAATCAGATTTCAACGATAAAACTGCTCTTACTTAAAGGACTTAAAGGCACATTCCGCTATCAAACAAATCAAAGTATTGGTCCGGTGACTAGGTAATTCGTTCTCCAAGCAGAGGTGTTACACCCTTTTCGAGGCTCGAAAATGCACAGCAAAGACATTGTGGGGTCATAATTTAGGTCCAATAGAGCCACGCTTACCCATGTGTCATTGTGAGAATGGAGACTTGCCGTTAACTGTGATAAAATAGGCAACAATAAGAATCCCGGTTGTGAAAGTGACAAGAGAAGGGAAAAAGGCTGATACCGCTGTCGCGTTTCTTTCAACCATCACAGGATAAAATGGCTCTATTAAATCTACGTTTCAACGTCATCGCCTTACATGTCTGAAACGCCTAGAGAATCCTCAAGACAACTTGGTGCTGTTCGACTTGGTGGGGGCATTTTTCTCGTTCCCATAAGTCACTGCTCATGCCTCTTGTGGACAGCTGTCAATTCCTGTGAAGTTATCAGGGCACGTTCTGTCGCTAATGAGATTTTCAGCTAAATACGAGGTCCCCCGAAAGAAAACAAACCCCCAAACTTCCGATTGCGATACGACGCCCCTTTCCAATGCTATCTACAACCTCACTGACTTTTCCCAAGTTCTTATATTTTTTGCAGAATTAACTAGTTTTCCATTTTTTCTCTAAAATTTTGCCGTCGAGCGGGAGCGACCGGGGAAGGAGAAGAGGGAGTGAATAACTAGAACATGCGAAACGAGAAAGCGTGCGAAACAAGAAAGGAGAACTTTCTCACACAAAGAAATTTCAGAGGTCTTTTGTGGTCAAATACGACTCCCCCCCCACCTCCCTCCAGTGTCCAACTACGACCCCCCTCCCCAGTGGGGATTCCCAGCGTTTGAAGTACCCTGGAACATATGCAGAGCGAGCATCGCTTACACTTGACGAGAGTCCACAGGTCTCGCCAAGGTGAGGCGTAATTCAACAAGAACTAGCAGAAGAAACTACTAAAAGTGCAAATTGCCTCTCCCAAGCCGAACAGCGCCAACAATTTCATTAGACTAGCAAAACCCTCATTGATATCAATCAATAGCGCTACAGCTCTGCCGCCGGATGCGGGTTTGGCTACTTTGCGGATAGTTTCAACGTGGAGTAAGCGACTGGGAAAAGATCATAATGACAT